CGCTGCTACTTCATCACTGTCATTTTGCTACTATTATAAATCAGGCGACCCCTGTGAAAGGGTTGTTCGACCCCCAAGGGGTCGCGACCCACACGTTGAGAACCACTGCTTTAAAGGGATCTGAAGCAGCAGCTTTACCGAATGCAATGCATCATTTGATCTCTGGACTGCTGCTTCCACGAAGCACTGATTGTGGGCCAAGCACGACACGACTGAGGAGTTTTGGTAAGCTAACAGATGATGGAGAAGGTACAGTGGCGTGATAGACATCTTAAACATTGGATCCTCTAGAACAGATTTCTGTGGTTTAAAAACAAAGAACAAGTTTTACCTGTAGCATTTGCTGGAGAAGGGCAATACTACTGGGAGAGAGCCAATTAGGAATCTCATATTTTCCTCTCTACAAAAAAGAAAAAAAAAGAAAACATTTCAGAGATTTAGGTTCAATCAACCTCGATACAAATTTTGAAGGTAACAACATACTGGAGGTTCACTTCACCCAACTATAAAATTTGGTAAATATGGTTCATAACACAAAAGTTTCTTTCGTGCTGTGAAGAACAAAATTCAGTAGCTCCCTTAGTCTCATTGCCTGTAAATTACCCACATATCAAAGGTGGACTAGAGCAAAGAAAGTGGAAAAGGCACGACACGGGGCTTTAGCGTCGGCTTTTAGGAGCTTTGACCGACGCTTTGGTGCTCAGCATACATCAGAGGGGCTGTGTGACTGGTCCCGACAGGGTTGCTCCCACTCTTGGGCCTGAGCCTCTCTTTATTCACGAAAGTCTCTCGGGAATCAAATCCTAGGTACCCAACTTGCTCTCTTTTGGAAAACTGTCCATCTTTCTCATCTCACGGATTTTAGTTCGCTCTTGTCGGGAAGAATAGAGACCGGCCACAGGACCAGGACAAGGACCCTGCCGCGTGCTTACACTGCCCAAGGCCATAAGCTGCCCGAATCTCCCATCACCACCCGCTCCTAATATGTCCGATGACAAGCCGCACACTGGCGGAGGCAGTTAGATTCTCCTGCCCCTTTGTGGAGTCAGAGGTGGTCAGACCCAGCCCCCATGCCATTTCCTGCTCCTCCAAGGGTCGTGTGACCCACTGCAGCTGTTCATATCATGTATGAACATGATATGGTCATGCTCTCCCTCTATGGATAGCCACCTCTGCAGAGGACATCCACAAGCAAGTGCTGAGGCCACCGTGTGACTGGCCCTGACTCTCTCTCTGAGTTCTGGTGTGAAATACCAGCAGAAGTTGAGCCCAGGCACTAAGGGTGTTGTTCTGCTGTCAGGCTGAATCCAACCTCTTTACTAGTACACGGGGCTCTAAAGTGCACAAAACACCGCCTTCTCGAAGCAGACAGGGGCTATGAGCCACATCACACAGAGGAGGGAACGGAGTCTGTGAGAGATTAAATTATTTTGACATACCAGGCACTGTGTTCAGTTGAGGGTGATTTTGCCTACTCTGGCCGGCCACACTTGGCAACACCTGGGGGTGGGCATGGGGGGTGGGGTGGGGAGTGGTCTACTTGCACTTGGTAGATTAAAGGTTAACACACACAGGACAGCCCACCTTAACAGAGAATGGTCTGGTGCACACTGTCCATGGTGCTGAGGCTGAGAAACCTTGAGAGAGCAGCAGAGGGTGGTCAAGAAGTCTAGGAGCGGGTAAGGGATAAGGCATGCTACTTAAACATAACAAATAATCCCTCAAAGAGCAAACGGGAAAGAGCCTGAGAGCGACAACTCAGCTTGAGGAAAAACAGCCCTTTGACAAAAGGAGCAGTGTCGGCCGGGGCTGGACTCCTTCACCCTGTTCCTCCGTGGTCTCCAGAGGATCCCTGTTTGTTTATTTAAGGGATGACTACCTTACGAATCAGAGGAAGAAAAGTAGAGAAACCCAAGGGGGGTGGGGGAGCGCGGGGAACCTGTGAACTAAGCAAGATAATACTGGGCATCCTAGCAGGCATGAAACTGTTCGTTTTTCCCAAGGCTCTACGCAAGGTGGGCGGTCACTCAACATGTGATCAGAGTTGCTGTCATCAACTTTGTAATTATAAAACGCCACATGAAGAGACACCTGGCTCATTTCCTTTAAGATTGAAAACTAGAATTGTTCAAAGTAATTTTTACGTTCAAGCTACTCGGACTTTCATTTACTGAAGCATTTATACGTCCCTCGTCTGTGTGTACCCTGAACTGGAGTCCGGTCATGCTTGTCTCTGAAGGCAGCGGTGGCGCATGACTGTGGGTGGCGTGAGTAACGAGGAGGGTCAACCTGCTGGTAATCACAGGAAACCTCAGGTGAGCATTTTGGTGAAAATTGTGCACAAGATAAGCGCAGGCGGCCTCTTCAACAAGAGTCACATCCAGGGTGTCAAACACTGCACGGTTTTTCAATCACACCAGGAAGAACAGGGAGAAGCTTGATTCCCAAGTGGGGAATTTTAGAGCCTTCTCAGCAACGAGCTACATCCTCCATGCAAGTGATACGACACCTTAATTAGATTCAACCAGCAGACTGTATTACACTGCGACTCGGAACAATAGTTCTGAGCCAAGATTACAATAAATTTCAAAATCTATAATGTGTGAAATTAAATTCCACAATAATGCATAAAAGTTCTAATTTGAATCAATTTTAAACTTGCAAATACATGAAAAACTAAAAAATGAAATTCAGAGTAGAAACAAAGAATATACGGTATTGGTAAATAATATTAATTAGGGAGGCTAGGTCTCTACTGAACAAGTAGAAGATGCTTTCTACCATATTCATTCCACTGCAGAGATGTGATTTGCCAATATACACATAGATGTATATATAAACTTCGATTTAACATTTGTTCCTACGGCATAGCACTTTTATATTATTTTAAGGTAATCCCTTTCCCCCAAAAGATTAACTCAGGATCCACTGGCACACTCAAATAAGTAAACAGGAGAACAGTGAAGTCCGTATGCTCGTATGCTCACCTCATACTAATGAAACAATACATTAATAACTAAAGGCATGAAGCCCACGGCTGCCTTATGAATGTAAAACTTGCAGTAACAACACATGAAAGCCAAATAACAACAACAACATAGAGGCTTATGGTCCAGACAGGCTAAAAAAAAATAACAAAATAAAGCAAGTTTAAAATGAAGTCAATAAATTAGGACCACCAAAGATATATAGTTCAAATTCAATGGTGTATTAACCATCATTTAGCTTGTCTGTGTGGATCAGATAGTAAAATCTTAACTACGTGTACAATCAAGATATAGACTAAAAGCCAGTATCCACAACACTTCGGGATGGTTCTGTTCTAACCAGTTTTTTTATAAAATCATTTTATTGGGGGCTCGTACAACTCTTATCACAATCCATACACATATATCCACTTTGTCAAGCATTTGTACATTTGTTGCCGTAATCATTCTCAAAACATTTTCTTCCCACTTGAGCCCTTGGTATCAGCTCCTCATTTTTCCCCATCCCTCCTCCACGAACCCTTAATAATTTATAAATTATTATTATGTTTTCATCTCTTACACTGCCTGATGTCTCCCTTCACCCACTTTTCTGTTGTCCATCTCCCAGGGAGAACGTTATATGTAGATCCTGTGATCAGTTCCCTCTTTCTGCCCCACCTTACCCTTACCCTCCTGGTATCACTACTCTCATTAATGGGACTGAGGGATGTATCTGTCCTGAATTCCTGTGTTTCCAGTTCTTATCTATACCACTGTACATCCTCTGATATAGCTGGATTTGTAAAGTAGAATTGGGATTATGATGGGGGGGGGCGGGAGCATTAAAGAACTAGAGGAAAGTTGTACGTTTCATCGTTGATAAACTGCACCCTGACTGGCTTGTCTCCTCCCCAAGACCCTTCTTAGAAGTAAGGGGATGTCCAGTTGCCTACAGATGGGCTTTGGGTCTCCACTCCGCACTCCCCCTCATTCACAATATGACTTTTTGTTCTTTGATGCCTGATACCTGATCCCATCAACACCTCGTGATCACACAGGGTGGTGTGCTTCTTCCATGTGGGCTTTGTTGCTTCTGAGCTAGATGACCGCTGGTTTACCTTCAAACCTTTAAGACCCCAGACACTATATCTTTTGATAGTTGGGCACCATCAGCTTTCTTCACCACATTTGCTTATGCACCAGCTTTGTCTTCAGCGATCATGTTGGGAAGCATCGTGAGCATCATGCCAGTTTAATAGAATGCCAGTTTAATAGAACAAAGTGTTCTTACATTGAAGGAGTACTTGAGTCGAGGCCCAATGTCCATCTGCTACCTTAATACTAAACCTATAAATATATGCACATAAATCTACTTCCCCATTGTCATATATAAGTATATTTATATATGTATATGCCTGTGTTTAGACCTCCATAAATGCCCTTTGCCTCCTAGTTCTTTCCTCTGTTTCCTTTTATTTTCCTCTCGTCCCACTATCATGTTCAGCCTTCATTTGGGTTTGAGTAATTCCTCTCACGTTACACTGCCCTTGATCAAGCCCTGCCAGGCCTCCTACACCCTGCTCACCATCGATTTTGGATCACTTGTTGTTCCCTTGCCCCTGGATTTGCTAACACCCACTTCCCCCTGCCTCCCCCTCTCCCATGTCCCCCTGGAACCATCGGTTCCATTGTTTTCTCCTCCAGATTGTTTATCTCTAACCAGTTTTTAAAAATCAACAATTCAGATGACAAGGTACTTGAGAAATGTGAGGGTGTTACTTAGCTGGCAGGGAAAACGAACACTACTACAAGGGGCCATAGTCAAGACTTGCATTTTCAACAAGGGAGAATGCTAGGGTCAAACAAAAGAAAACTGAACATGAGCCAACAGATGTCAGAAAAGTTAAAACTACTCCGAGGGCAGCAACCCTACAAAGAGCTGACTACTGTACTGCTCTGAGCTGAAGAAGCAAACAAGAACCGCTGAAGTCAGTGAAGCTGAGGCCTCGGGATAAAGACTAGGAGCATAACTGGGGTCTCGGTAAGCCTGAGAGGCTGGGTGGTCGAAGAACATTCCCAAGCTGATGAGCACAAAAAAGAGCAGGAGATGGGGTTCACACTGATGGTGGAAGCATAGTTTATTTACATAAGGTGTAAGGAAGGCAATTTGATCATGTGTAGTTAAGGTGCCGCTTTGAAGTCTAAGGCGGACCTGGCCACAGTGATTCTATTTCCAACCACCTCATGTGCATGTGAAAGCGGGTCAATGAACAAGGGAGACCAAGGGAGGATTGATGCCTTTGAGTTCTGGTGTCAACAAAGAATAGTAAATATATTAGGACTCCCGGAAGAGCAAAGAGATCTATCTTGGAAGAAATACAGCCAGAATACTCCTTAGAAACAAAGGTGGAGAGACTTCATTTCCTGTACG